TGACATTAATAACATAATTTGTATGGATGAATTCAGATGTGGGATGCAGACACTGGTCAGCCATTGTCCCAATATATGGAGCACCAAAAGAGAGCTTGGTCTGTTCATTTTTCTCTGTCAGACCCAAAAATGTTTGCTAGTGGAAGTGATGACTGCTCTGTCAAACTGTGGAATATCAGCGAGGCATGCTTTCTTTTATGCATTTAATAGTAACAATTTAGTTTTGTTCCAAAAATATGCTGTTTTAGAAATCCAAGATAGCATTTGTAATACTTGTACCCTTATTTATATCCACTAAAGCATTAAATTTTACTAAAATGCTACATTAAATTGGGATATTCTAGTCTACAGATGTAATGGTTAATGTTTTCTTAAAGGCCGTGAACTAGGTTACACAATTATAGTTTTGGAATGTAGGGAGTAAAGCATTGGTATTTATATTATTTGAAGTTGAATAGTAGAATATTTTTCATGTTGTTTTTCCTCTTCCCTAGAAAATAAAAAGAATGATATGAAGAGAAACATAACTATGTGATAGAAAATATGCTTTTGAATGCTATTGCTTCATACTGCATACTAATTGTCTGATATGCTATTGTTTGTGCAGAAAAATTCTCTGGGAACCATCTGGAACCCTGCCAATATATGCTGTGTTCAGTTCTCTTCTTACTCAACAAATCTTTTATTTTTTGGATCAGCTGATTACAAGGTTTATGGTTATGATCTTCGTCACACTAGGATTCCGTGGTGCACATTAGCTGGTCATGGCAAAGCTGTTAGTTATGTAAAATTTATAGATGCTGAAGCAGTTGTCTCTGCTTCCACTGACAACTCCTTGAAGCTTTGGGACCTGAAGAAAACCAGCTCTTCTGGTTTGTCATCTGATTCTTGTGTCTTAAATTATAAAGGTCATAGTAATGAAAAGGTTGGTCTCTCAACATATTTTACCACACTCTTCTGTATTCTTTTATTTGTTCTTCTAATCTGTTTATCTTTCATCATTATCATCTTCTTCTTCTGCAGAATTTTGTGGGATTATCTGTTTTGGATGGATACATTGCATGTGGTTCAGAATCTAATGAGGTATGGATTTTCTTTATTCATATCCTTGAATTTGCAATATGGAATGGAATAATAGTCTGAGTTCACCCTTGGATGCAGATTGTCATGAAGCCGGCAAAATATTACAAAATCTGCACTATATGTGGGAAAAGAAATTAGTTGAATTTTCTTATCTCTTTTGGGTTACTTTATGCTTATTTAGGAGCCTGATCATGGAATGAAGTTGTGTATAGGCTAATGTTTACATAGATTTGTTATTGCTTTCATCATATACGTATGTATGATTAGTTTTGCTTTTGTTCTTTTATGAATTGTCTTACTGATCTTGAAAAAAATCAAGCTTTGTTATCACAAGTCCTAATACAGATTAAAAAATTATATCTTCTGGATCACCGAGCATAATTCTTTATACCTTGTGAAAGATGCTTGGTATATAGGTCAGGAATTTAATATAAGGGTTAAATACATCCTTAAACTTTGATATAAATTGTAATTCATTTTAAACATTTCTACCTTTCAGGTGTACTGTTATCACAAATCACTGCCAGTGCCAATTGCTTCTCACAAATTTGAGTCAATTGATCCTATTTCTGGTCATCTAAATAGTGGTGATAATAGTGGACAGTTTGTTTCTAGTGTTTGCTGGAGAAACAAATCTAACATGCTTGTTGCGGCCAACTCAGTTGGAATTGTGAAACTGTTGCAGATGGTCTGACAGAAAAGATAAAATATTAAGTTGAGATACTGAACCTGGAAAGCTTTCATTTCTTGACTGCATAATTTGTTTAGTATCCTTCAAAAGATTAAGTTTGTGTTTTATTTGAGATAAAATCTCATGCTTCAATGATTAAAAGGGTATAAAGCTTAAAAGGGGTCTTGATTTGTCATTGCTTCTGAACCAAAATTAGGTGAACAAGAAATGTATATAGCATGTAGTAATGACTGAAGCACTGGTGAAGCTGGAGCTTGCAACTTTTGTTTCAAATATCAGTATCACATGGGACTAGAGGTTTTCTTTGATCCTTTACTTCTGTATATAGCACACCTTCCAATAGATATCGATTAACTTCCAAATCACTTTTAATTTATCAGAAAAAAAGTACATTTTATGACCTATGCTTTGGTCTTAATTGCAAAACCTATCTGTGGTTTATACAGTGGTTCAATTAGGAATGTTACACCTTTAAAAATTGTGCAAAGTTGCATGTTTTTTTTTTTCATTGGTCTCTACCTCTACATGTCACAACTTTTTTATCACATGAAAAAGAGTAAAATATTTTTCTATAATATTTTTGGCTTTCTAACTACTTTAATTGAAAACAGTTCCCAAACTCTAAACTCCAAATAATTGCTAGCCAAAGATCGGAAGTCGTAGCTCTGATTCTCTTTCCTGAAAAAGACAGAGTGATCCAGTTTAGCAAGGGTGAATAATAAAATTGGTATATACTTTAAAATATGAAAATAGTATAATTTTAATAAATAGTTTAAAGAGAAAAAAATATATTTAACTTAAAAAATAATTTTTAATAGTTTACTTTTAGAATAAAGTCTCATTAATAATGAGTACTAAAAGTTTTTTAAGTCTCCACGATATTAATTTGTAGTACCTAATTATATTTCTACTTATAGAATTTAAACATATATTTTTCTTTTGTTAAATGTGTTTTTAACTTTTAAATTTAGATGCAAAGTGAGAGTTTGTCCATATTTCAAACAAAGATATATTTTAGTCTCAAACTTTAAAAATAAATTAATATAATTTTTTAATTCAATTATGCAAACTTTATTTTTACTTTTTTACGTGTTAAATAGTATTTTAGGCCGATTTGAACATAATTTATCGCGTTTCATCTAAAATGTCAATTTAAAACTTATTTAATACATAAAAATAAAAATATTATATTCATTAAATTTTTTTTAAGTTGGGAAACAAAATATATAAAAGTTTAGAATAATAACGAATTTTAATTTCACATCAAAGTTTAAAAACGAAAAATATATTTAACCATTCTAGTATAAAAATTTTGGAACAAAAGTTTTTGAAATATTAAAAAAAAAATCACCATCAAGCTTCTATTTTGGAAATAAAAGATGAAAGGGAACATAATAACAAGAAAAAGAATAACATTAGGTATAGAAGCAGGGATAAGTTTCATTATTTTATTTGTAATCCAAAATAAAAATTAATATTTATTCGATATTGTTTTGGTTGAAATTATTCGAGGGTCGGTCATCCTTGCCCAGCTCTCTTTTGATCATCCAATCCTCTCTGATGGGTTGTTGACCTAGAAGACAATCTGACGCTCAAGTCAGATATCTTTCATAAAGAGGTCTATATTTTATTATAATAGATTAAGATAGAAAAGCCTGGACATTATATTTATAGGGCTTATGGAAATCAAGCTCATTAATTCATATTGAATATGAAAATAATGTCGAATATTCATTTGATACGACAATCAAACCATTAATATTTAATAATATAAATGCTAACTGCCCATAAATAAGACAAACACACTCATATTCCTCTTATTTTGTTCATCTAAGCTTCAAACACCTTACCCAATCCATTAGCTTAAGCAAACATCAATAACCAAAACAATCCTATTTATATATTTTACCATATTGTTTTTAATTTTATTATCTAAAATTTTAAATTATCAATATTCTACCTTTTCATTATATCAAATTACTAATAATTTGATATGATCAATTTTGATCACTAAAATTTATTTTTCTACTCTCCTATTATAGATAATCTTATAAAGCTTATTTTTCTTTTTTTTTTCTTTACCATAAATTTTAACATAAAGTCTAATATACATCAATCATATTACAACTATTTTATTAAAAGCATTTTAACACCAAAATTAACAATTTGGTGTAAGTTTTAAAAAAAATTATATCTTAACATAAATTATTAAGATAAATTAGACTAAACTCTAGACTCTAAATATGTATGAAATTGTGGGAAATTGACACCATTTAACCATCATAAGTAATATATTTCTACTGCATCTCCGTATTAAAGTTATATCAAAATAACATTACTTATATCAAAATGTAACTTTTTTAAAACTCACATCATGTTAGTAATTTTAGTTTTAAATTATTCCAAATTGGTAAAATAAAATAAAATCAGACAACTTTTCTCATTTTTTACAGTCATATAATTTTGGAAACATTTTTCAAAGTTAAACATCCTGCTAAAGTTGTCCTTAGTAAATCAATCACTTTTAATTCACAAAGCACAATGAAAAAGCATAATCTTAATTGGACCTACCACTTTTAACATTTACCTTTGGTTTGATTAAAAAATTATTAACAATTGTGGACAGAAACAACACACGAAGCTAAGCAATTTTTCTGCTTAGATATTAAGCAATATCTACACATGGCAAAAAAAAGTGCACACATAGACACAAAAATGTCTTATTGTATATAATAAAAGAAATCCACGTTATGGTAAACTTTATCTCTATTTATTGTTTCATATGATTCATTATTTTTCAATACGCATTCACTCAAAGTCTTCCTCTTCTCCTATTTCTCTCTCTAAACCAACACAATGTGGAAGTTACTGCACCTCAACCAACTCTTCCACCCCACATCAACCTCCGCCACCAATCCCCTTGCCGTCGCGGTCACCGCCGCTTCCTTCGCCCTCCTCCTCCTCGCTCTCTCTGTCCTCTCTGCCCTTCTTTACTGTCTCCGCAGACGCAAAACCTTCTCTACTGACCCCACCGTCAACCTCTTTCACTGCGATGCCGCCGCCGCCGCCTGTCGGAAAGCGAGGAACACCATGGACTCGCCGGAGCTCCAGCCCCTGCTCGCGGGAAAGGCCTGGATGGCGGTGGTGGACGACGAAGAACAGCAACTCTGCTCGACGAGGAGAGGGTTATTATTATTATTTACAATTCTTATGAAAGAAAAATTACCGTTGACATTTTTTTTAAATTACTATCATCAACCTTTTAATAAAACATTAATTTAGGTTATATTAATAATTTTAAATAAAATAGTAATATGTAAAATTATATGGGGTAGTAAAATATAGGCTTAATACCCTATTTTGTCTCCAGTTTCGCTCGACAATGTGAAATTAGTCCATCCTTTAAAACGTGCGTCAATTACGTCCCTACTTAATAAAATTTATATCAATAAAATCACTTCCGTTAAATACAAACGGCGTTAATTATTTTTCTTTCTCTTCTATTAAAGTCGTTTGTACGGATTTGACCCACGTTTTAAAGGATGGACTAATTTGACATTGTCAAGCGAAACTGGAGACAAAATAGGGTATTAAGCCTAAAATATATTAAGGTTTTCAAAATATTGTAACTTAAAAATGATTTTAGTAATGTCTGTTTTATATTTTGTTTGTATAATTTATTTTATCTTGTCCATAAATAATTTAGAACTGAACATTTTATTTTTGGTTAAAGGGCTAAATTTTGGTTTTGTTTTGGCAAATTATTTAATTCCTTTAGAAATAGGAATTACAGTTTTTTAAAATTTATTTAATGATAAATACATAACATTAATTTTAAAGATATCGTTTTTAGAAATAGATATAGATGAGTATTATCTTAAANCTTCCGTTAAATACAAACGGCGTTAATTATTTTTCTTTCTCTTCTATTAAAGTCGTTTGTACGGATTTGACCCACGTTTTAAAGGATGGACTAATTTGACATTGTCAAGCGAAACTGGAGACAAAATAGGGTATTAAGCCTAAAATATATTAAGGTTTTCAAAATATTGTAACTTAAAAATGATTTTAGTAATGTCTGTTTTATATTTTGTTTGTATAATTTATTTTATCTTGTCCATAAATAATTTAGAACTGAACATTTTATTTTTGGTTAAAGGGCTAAATTTTGGTTTTGTTTTGGCAAATTATTTAATTCCTTTAGAAATAGGAATTACAGTTTTTTAAAATTTATTTAATGATAAATACATAACATTAATTTTAAAGATATCGTTTTTAGAAATAGATATAGATGAGTATTATCTTAAATACACCCGCCATTTTTAAAATTAATAATTATATGAATTAAAAGGATAAAACTGAAAGTATTTTTTTTATTATGAATTATTATTTAAATTTAAAAAGGTAAAATTAGAAAAACAAAATAAAATACTAAAATAATATATCTTCTTTACATATAATTATAAATAAAAGTAGAATATTTTTTATAAACACATCAAAATTACTGATTTTGAAAGGACTTTGTTTTTCATGTCTACTTCATCTTTTAATCTCTTTATATAATATTTTATATAGAAAATAATTATAATAAAATTAAATTAAATATAAATTTAGAAAAGTATTGAAATACTCTTTTTTTTTCTTTCAATTTATATGCGTACGTGGAGGCGGAGACTGAATATACTATAGTGAAAAAGTTTAGTCTACTTTTTTTTTATCTAAAGGCCCTCTATACAATTAAATTAAGAAGAACTTGATTGCTAAATTAAAAAAAAAACGTGTAAATTTATTCCTACAAACCAAAAAACATTGATGCTGCCTTTTATTCATGTTTAAAAAAATAACAAATTTAGATCATTATTTTAAGTGGATATAAAATTATAGATCTTAATTATGTTATGTTTGATAATAAAAAAATTATTAAAAACATCTGTTTCTAAAAATATATTTTTATCCTTATGAAAGACAATCTTGATTAAAGAGACTAGTCGTTCTTTTCTCTTATATTCAAGGTTTCAAATAATTTTTTATCCGAAATAAAAAAATAAAAATTCAATATATTTTAGTAAAACTGAATAAGGAAATTTTATTTTATTTATCCTAAAAATAAATTGTTTACTTTTGGTAATTTATTTATGAAAATGTATCCAAGT